GTTTAGAAATTGTGTTAGTTCAAGTTTATGCCGTGAGACGCCGTTGGCATTCCACGTGGATATACGTAGATTGGACATTGATTATTTTGACTGTTGTGCTACAAGCAGCTGTATCACCATATTCTGATTCTGGACGAGCGTTTGCACGGTCGTTTTCATAAATGACATGAGTTCCATCATACTTTGTTGCATGGATTCCAGGTTGTTTTGTGGCTGCCCTGGGGCCTGCTGAGCGTTTTCTGAGTTTGAGGGGAGTGGATTTTGCATAAATATCTGGGGGCTTTGGCTGTTTTTGAGTCTCCTGCTTGGTTATTCTCAGCAGCTGCTAGCGGGGAAAAACTGTTGGAGTTGGTTGGGTCGTAGCTTTTGTTGACACGGTTGATCTTAGATTTGTTACCAACCGTGTTATGTGGGCTTACGCTAAATTTGGATGTAGCGATCCATGCCAGTCTGTATGGCCGGAACCGCTTGTTGCTTATCGGAGCTCACGGTTTTTGATACCATTAAATTTGGCGCTGCAGCCGTTGGCACCGATTTTGCAATATTGGTCGTTGGTTTAGTTGTTGCTTTTGCTGCGTTTGCAGAAATTGCAACACTGCTTGTTGTTGGTGCGTCTTCCATCCAAGCCGGTGGTGGTGGGGTTTGGTATTGGGAGCTCCAAGATGTAGGAGCTGGAATGAGTAGGGCGGGAGAGCAAGAGCGCGCTCTCGTGCCGTCGGCGGTCAGTAGAGCCGGGTTGGGCTTGGTAGACGTATTTTCTGCTTCGTTGTCGCGAGTTGACAAATAAGAGAAACAACCGTTTCTTTGGTTTACAGAGGTTCTACGCTCATTCTTTTGATCGCCGCTCATTATTTTGAGCTTGTTACGCGTGGCACCATATAAATGAACTTTGCAGCACTAGTGTCCGTATGTCATACGCACTGTAGGGCTTGGCCTAACTGACAGTACGTAGTTTAGTGTTCCGAATTTACTTTTTTACCATGAAAAACACTACATGAATGAACCCTGCGTAGCGGTTGTCCGTAGGCACGTCTGCACTCGATGAAGGTCGAATGCGAATGCGGCATTAATTCGTGTGCGTCGAATAAACTGGGTCTACTAATATTCTAATTTTACATATTTTAGAATTTAAATATTCGATAGCGGGTTGGGGAGGGTAAACGTAGTACTAGTAGGTTAGGTTAGGTTAGGTTATATTATGTTGGTTAGGTTATGTTAATCCGAACGGCCTCGCTAAGTAAATAGGCCAATATGGCCCATACCTATCCGGGGGCCCATACCTATCCTGGATGGACCTAGAGACTATTTATGCGGGTTTCGAGATCCTTGAAGATCAAGGTATTTTTTGCAAAGGCAAGGAGTTCGCCTGGCTTCCGCCTGGAGGCGTCTTCTAGCGATGCAGGAACCGGAGAGCCTAGGTATCTCATTCTTGCCCTCGTTAGGGCCGGACATTTGCAAATGAGATGCTCCAAGGTTTCGATTGCCTCGGATTCATCACATTTCCGGCATTTGGCGTTGTCGGTAATACCAGGCTTGACTGCATGTGCAGCAGATAGGCAGTGACCTGTAAGAATACCCACTAACATTCTGCAGTCAGCTTGTGTCTCTAGCTCGCTTTGGAGCGTTCTTAGGGAGACAGGGACGTTTTCTGCTCTTTCACTCGCCAGTCCGACGCCTTCCATTGCAAGTTCATCCGCGGTCTCGTTACCGTCTATGCCTTGGTGACTGGAAACCCAGTAGATCCTCACTGACTTGATCATGCTCAGACTATTTAGTGACTTCTTGCTTGCCAGTATATTTTTGGAACTGACCGCTCATGTGGACGGTTTATGCTCTGCGCAAGCTCTGCTGCTCTCCTTATGGCGAATACTTCCGCCTGGAATATACTGCAGTAGCTTGGTAGCTTATACGACAGCCTCATTTCAGGGTCTGAACAGTATATGTCCGCTCCAACTCCTCCATCCATCTTGGAGCCGTCGGTGTATATATTGAGGTAGTGAGCATGGACCTGGAATACTGTTGTGTTTACATCAAGGCACGTTCTGGGTATAATGTAGTCAGATGTACTGCTCATGTCTCGACCAATTGAACTGTGCCCGAATCCTTGTAGCGAAAAATTTTCTGATGCAACCACACGTTGTGCCGCCTTTCCTGCTGTCAGTTGCGCTTGGATATCTAGGGGATATATACCAATTATGGATTCGGGTGCTTTGGTAGAGGTTGACCTCAGCGCCCCTGATATGCAGAGCAGTGCCTGCCTCTGGGTTCTCTCCATAAGCTTATTATACGTTTTCTCCACAATGGCTTGCCAACACACCCTCTCTACTACATTGGCCTTCCACGTCAGCTTGCTGTCAAGTACAGTGCCGAGGTATTTGACTTGTGTTTTCGGGGCCACCATGGTTTTGTTAATTTTTGTGGGGATCCATTGCGACACCTTGTATCTCTTGGTGAAGAGAATAAGGCCCGTCTTATCCGCATTGATATTGAGTCCTACCAAAGACAATAGATTTAACAAGATGCCTCACGACCATACATTTGTTTTGCAAAATGAGGTTTCATTTTTGATGGCAACGACAATCGCGTTCTAAAAATAGAATGCGTTTGCTTGTATGAATAAACACCAGAACACGCAAGCGCGTATGTTTTTTTTTTTTTTTTTATATTCCATTTATTTTTCAACTTAGCATATATGTAAACAAAAAACAACAAAGAATAACGAAGACTGCGGGTTTTTTTTTTTGGTTTGAAGGGTGCATTGTTTTTTCGATGTAGAGGGCCATGGTCGCGCCGTACCGCCGCTAAGCATTGCTTCGCGCGAGGTACAGGCCACCTACTCCGCTCGCATCCGTCTCTCCGTCTCTAGTGTCCTCAGGGTCTTCATGACGCTTGCCACGAACATGGCTGTCGCGTCTCAGGCCTCCTGACTGTCCAGCATGGTGGAAACCAGGTTGTCTGCCGTCATGGCCGTACCCACAGCCTCCTCCAGCGCTTGCCGTTCGTGTTGGAAGCGATGGTACTCGAAAAGGACGTGGTGTACGTTCCTCGGTGTCGTGACCGAATCGCTTAAGATAGCTTCTAAAGCATCCGTGACCGCTGAACATCTGCGTCAGGTAGAAGTCCACTTCTCCGTGCTTCCTACTAAACCAGCTCATGATGTCTGGGATCAGGCGGTGAGTCCAGCGACCTTTGCTGGATCCGTCCCACGTGTTCTGCCACCTGGCAACGCTTCTGCGCCTGGCGCTGCTCCTGGACTCGCGCCTCGCCGTAGGATTTTCTGGCGCGCCTTGAAGGCGGGCTTCCTGCACAAGTTCACCTAGCGGCACCAGCCCCGCAATGACTAGGGCCGCTTCGTCGGAAACCGTCCTAAAGGCGCACGCTACTCTCAGGGCGCACACCTTCCGCACCCTCACCTATTTTTTTTTTTTCGCGGCCTCCGCCCAGACTGGGGCCGCATAGAGGAGTTGCGAAGTGACGACACTCGTGAGCAACTTCCTCTTGCACTGCTTGGGGCCTCTGGTGTTCAGCAGAATTCTAGAGAGAGCTCGTATGTGTGCGAGAATATGTGTGCGCAAGCGCAAGCACCACCAAAAAATTGAATTTTTATATTTTGTGCTGGCGACAGCTTTTTAGGAGGCGATGCACATTAGCGCCTCTCGAACAATTAGCGTTGCAAAAATCGAAAAAGTCATGTTCGCAAAAACGATTTTAACCACACTTATTCGACAGAACAGACAGACGTGAGCGCTACAGTTAGTATATATTTTTTATTATTATACAGTACATATACATATTTTACAACAATTATCTGTCCGTTCAAATTATTAGGTTATTGTTGGGACGCCCCTGGGTCCTTTCCCGTACAACAAGCGCCTGGTTGTAGTATACCGATAGCAACAGCGCTGAAATCTTTATTTAATCTTGTTAAAAAATAAAGAAGTTTTACATTTTCTCTGATCTTACACTTGTGGGTTGCCGCTCTTCAATTCACAAAGTGACGCTTACATATATAGCGGTCTCATTCTCGCAAAAAAGGGTGTTTTACAATACTAATTAAGTGTTGGTCAGAACAGCTTCGGTGTTATACAACGCTAAACAAATTCAAATTACCACCCTTTTAAAATTGGGCATCTAGCGCGGGCAGCGAACCTTCGCCAGCATCGCAACAGTTATCTTATTTGGTTTAAAATATATGATTTTTGCAACGCTAAATGAGAAAAGGCGCTACTCTGCGATAGTAGCGGCAGCAAAAACTGCTGATCTCAAATATGGATTGTATTTGTATACAAGTTCAATCCAAAATGTTAACTAAATTTTATTTTCATCTGTATGTATGTATATTTTATAATTTTATTATTAAATGAATATGCAAAATAATACAAATAATTGATTTAAATACATACATAATTACATATGTATTTACAATTATCTAATGTAATTGACTAATAAATTAACAATATATTATTATGATTCATACATTATAAAAGTATATAAAATTAAAGAGATGTTAAAATAAAAAATAAATTTTTGAAAGAAATTTATTTTCTGAGCCCCGTTTGCACACAAACAACCGGCGGCGTCGCTGAATGCGTACAAGAGAACGGCTGGCTCTAGAGCGCTCTCTTCGCTGGCTTTTGAACCAAATTTAAGAGAGCCTGGAGCCAGTTCAAAAGCCAGCACGAAAAAATCATGTGCAAAACAATCGTATGACGTTATTTTTCTTATAGGCTCTATTGTCTTTGGCCAGACACTGTATTATCGTGTCTGGGTTAATACAATGCCCATTGCCCAGCCGGCCCCCTCGGGGAGAATTCAGATGGAGGATTTTTGCCAGCCCGTAGTACTAGTAAGAAAAAAAAAACTATTGCGATCTGCTTCGGTTCAATCTATAACGGGTGCTCTGTTCCAAATAAATTGTTAATAACTTAAAAAATTACAATTTTAACCTCTAATCTTTAATCTAAGTGTAAACTAAATGTTCTTCTTGTTTATATTTTCAGACAAACTGATAATTTCTGATCCAGCTGAATTTCATGATCGCACGTTTTTGTCCCATTTGCATCAATTGCCTTGGGATGAACCGCTCTTTACAAAACGTGTGGAACAAGAATTTATAACTGGTAAACACATGACATTTTGTCGTGTTTCGAACGATTCGATATCAATAGTAAGCTTTTTTAAAAATATTTATGATTGGGATGCGTTAACTAAGAAATCTTTTGTTTCTTTCAGCCATCGGAAATTATTCGGTTCCCTGAGTTTACTGCATATGTAAAACCTGCTAGGACCTGTTTAAACTATATATTAAATGATAATGAAGATCTTCGTTCTAAAGGTTCCCGACATGTAGCTGAATTAACTTCAAGTCTCTTTATATTATATAATTAAGTTAAAAAGCACAATACTTTAGTACACTAATTTAAGGTGAAGTAAGTCAAGTGATCTTAATGGAAGTATTTTTGTTTTACTAAAATAAACATGAACATATTAACTTATTCAGTCGCGACAATATTTATAACAATAATAATATTACATAATCTGTAATTCGTCAGTCGCAGCAATGTCATATGAGGCCAAAATAAAGTACAAATTACCAGGTCTGATGAATTCTGTTGACGCGATGAAGTGGAATGGAATGCAACAAAACGGTTGCAAATAGGAGCGTATCCGGCTAACAAAGCAAAAAAAACACTCCCAATGGGTCTGGAGTTAAGCACTTTTCAATATGTCTATCAAGGAGGAACAAGCAGTCACAGAGGCGTTACACTTGCAGGAAGAGATCAAGTTCAAAAAAAACTCAGCGAAGAGAAAGCTAAATCCAACATATTATCAATCCGATTTTGGGCGCAATCGATAAAGCAGGAATCGATTTGCGGATAATGATCTCAATATTCTGGCGAATTATAGAACCTCTGAATATTTGAGATTCTACAAAGACGGTCGTGACTCATACGACAAGTATCTAAAGGTCATAACCGACGCAATGGCTCAAACCACGAGCCATGCCTGAGGGAACACAGACTCTGCAAGCATACAGCAAACTGTGAGTAAGTTTATATTGGCATGTCGCCGACAAAGAGCGATAACTCAAGCGGGCTCTGAATGAATTTTCAGAGACCAGAATGACCGTTACTAGTTATTTGATAAAATCACTAGTTAGTTCAGTACCAAACCGAAGTGCATGCTACGGGCGCTCCATGCCAATGTCAGTTTTGACCCCCGAATTTTCTGGTTTTCTTCTTCGTGGGATACATTTTCTACCGAATCCTTTTGCGGAGGATTTCCTGGCCACCCCACTCCTGAACAAAATGCATTCGAAAACAAGCAATACAGCTCTGCTATTTTTCTTGATGTCAAGGAAGCTTTTGACCGCGTGTGGCATGATACCTTACTTCATAAGTTGAAGTCCCTACTCCCGACTGGCCAACTCCTGCAGGTATGGCGCACGATCGTAGGTGAGACGGGAAAGATCAAGCATTCGTATTGTTCGTGCTGGCGTTCCGCAGGGAAGCGTCATGGGCTCACCGGGAAGCAGCACACAACGAAGGTAGCAGCTTCCTGTCGTGGTAAGCTTAAAAAGCTGAACTGGTTGCTTAGACCAACGAGTAAGCTCAGCATTGGCAACAAAATGTTACTATTTAAGTCAATTATTGTGCCTTCGATGACTTACTGCATCCAATTGTGGGGCATGGCTTCTGTCTCGAAAGTCATAAAGGTCCAAAGAGTCCAAAACCGGGCGCAGGATGTAGGAGCTGGAATGAGTAGGGCGGGAGAGCAAGAGCGCGCTCTCGTGCCGTCGACGGTCAGTAGAGCCGGGTTGGGCTTGGTAGACGTTTTTTCTGCTTCGTTGTCGCGAGTTGAGAAATAAGAGAAACAACCGCTTCTTTGGTTTACAGAGGTTCTACGCTCATTCTTTTGATCGCCGCTCATTATTTTGAGCTTGTTACGCGTGGCACCATATAAATGAACTTTGCAGTCCGTATGTCATACGCACTGTAGGGCTTGGCCTAACTGACAGTACGTAGTTTAGTGTTCCGAATTTACTTTTTTACCGTGAAAAACACTACTGAATGACCCTGCGTAGCGGTTGTCCGTAGGCACGTCTGCCTCGATGAGGTCGAATGCGAATGCGGTTAATTCGTGTGCGTCGAATAAACTGGGTCTACTAATATTCTAATTTTCTATTTTGAATTTAAATATTCGATAGGGTAAACGTAGTACTAGTAGGTTAGGTTAGGTTAGGTTATATTATGTTGGTTAGGTTATGTTAATCCGAACGGCCCTCGTGGGCCATAAATAGGCCAATATGGCCCATACCTATCCGGGGAAATTCCTGGATGGACCTAGAGACTATTTATGCGGGTTTCGAGATCCTTGAAGATCAAGGTATTTTTCGCAAAGGCAAGGAGTTCGCCTGGCTTCCGCCTGGAGGCATCTTCTAGCGATGCCAGAACTGGAGAGCCTAGGAATCTCATTCTTGCCCTCGTTAGGGCCGGACATTTGCAAATGAGATAAATGCTCCAAGATTTCGGTTGCCTCGGATTCATCACATTTCCGGCATTTGGCGTTGTCGGTAATACCAGGCTTGACTGCATGTGCAGCAGACAGGCAGTGACCTGTAAGAATACCCACTAACATTCAGCAGTCCTTCCGTGGAAGATGCAGCACATAGTGGGTGAGTTTCTCGTTGGCTGCTCATGATTGCTAATGCCCCTTTGTACATAAGAAACAAAGCCTTGGCAAGTGACCTCCACATTCCCTCTATCAGGGAGCAGATCAACCGGCACTCGAGTCGGTATAACGAACTCCTCAAGGTTACACCAATCGCCTAGCGGCATCATTGGCCAACACGTCGATCAGAAGAAGGCTCAAACGAAGACATCCCGCCGATCTCTGGACAATAGGAAGACATATTTCTCGGTGTTGGAAACGCTTGTCAGCAGCTTTCTGGTGTTCTGCTTGGGTCCTCTGGTATTTAGCAACAACCGGGCGAGTGCTTTTGCGGTTCCACTGGCCTTCTTTTGGGCGTACTGGTGGTGCTCCTTGAAGGATAACCTGTTGTATTTGACTGCCCTCTGCGACTTCATCACAGCTCCGCCAACCGGATCTCAGCCGTTTCCACCCTTTTCCGGTTCGAAATAAGGACTGCCTCAGTCTTGTGCGCCGCTAGCTCAAGACCAGCGCTCGAGAGCCACGATTCGATCGTCTTGATCGCAGCATTCGCCTTTTCTTCTGCAGCCGTGCGCTCTTTCGCAACTACCACCACTGCTATATCATCGGCGAAGCCAACGATAGTGGTGGGCATCGGGAGTCGTAGAACCCCGTCGTACATGGCGTTCCAGAGCACAATAAGCACCCTCTCACTTAAGCAACTCCTCGCTATATCCAGTAGGTATCCTGGGATGTGTAGGGCAGCGAAGGACTCCAGTGTCCGCGTCAGACGGCAGTGTTGAAGGTGTTCCTTACGTCTAGCGTTACCACTAGGCAGTAGTTTTTGGAGCCGCCTTTCCACCTCGTTCCCGCGATTTCCGTTACCGCTATCTTCTTCACCATCTCGATAGCGTCCAGCGTTGACATCCTATTTCAAAAGCCAAACTGGCTAGAAGAGAGGCCCCCGGCCCTCTATATGGCGGCATTTAGCCATTGTGCTATTACTATATCGAACACCTTGCCCGTGGTGTAGGTAAGGCAGATAGGAGGAGGATGGCTCCCCAGGCGGATTTGCCGGCTTATCAAGGACATTGGCCCTGCCACGCAGATCGCAGCATAGGTTGTCCAGGGTCCTTCTAAACGCCTCCAGCGGGAGACTGGGGGCCAAGAGCGGTCCTTCGCCCATGCTATCATGCTGCACTTCTTAAAAGCAGTTTTATCTCCCTTACCTGATCGTTCCTCCTGTCAAGTCAGCCACCGCCACGACGGGTGTGTTGGAATATTTGGTAGGGCCTTTAGAATCCTTCCCCTAACCGTGGGTTTCCCCACGGGTGGATTTCCACTTTTGTGGCTGCCACACCTGGAGTAGTTACGTTATTCACAGACATTCCAGATATGGTTGCATTGTAGCCCAATATTGGGCGCATTTTATACCTTCTGTTAGGTACTGTAGCTGCCGGCCACTATGGCTCAGACGCAGACCACGCAGCCGCCCAATGTGAGCAGACGATGCGTGGATTCCCGTTCCCGCTTGGAAGCAAGATCGTTACCGACTGACGTAAACCAGGTCATTGTCGATCGCCTTGGCCGAATCAGGACGACACGTAGCCTCCCTCGTTGGTACCTCGATTTCGCCGGAACATGGCCAAATTCCGACTCCTTGCCAATGTAGAGTACAGCGACGCTGCATTGCTGCCACACAGCTTCAGTGCACTCATTGCTCTACACTGCTCGTCAGCTGATCGAGCAATAACCTGTCGTGACCGACACAATATGTGGTTGCATCCCACAGCAGTAAGAGAAAGTTTCGGGAAGAAAGAATCCCCTCTTACCCCTAGCCATCGTCCTTTTCGCCAGATCAGTGGGGCACAGAAGTGCCCTCTGCGAGCCGCAGAAGCCGTGCCTCGACGGGTAAGACCGCAGACTACACTCACTTTGCATCCTACATATTGCTACCACCTTTTAACCCTCGGGGCACTGCCACTCCTTGCCAATTTACCTCGCTCCTCAGCATTTCTGGCACAAGGTTTTCCACGCTGATGGTGGTCCTTAAAAGGGTCTCCACCGTACAGCGCTCGCTCTCGAACACGAAAACAGCACATGCTCGACTATTTCGTCGACATCAGGTTTGGTTTTATTTATTGAATCTTCTCATTAATGAGACTAACAATAAGTGTATCAAATATTACAATACTACCTAACTAGCAGTCAGGAGACTGGTACAGAGTAAATGGCCGTGACTAATTATGGCTGAGTTGGATGGTCGTTGTAGGCGGCTTCTTCTGGAAACTCGTATCAGTATCAAGTCCCTTGCTAATGGATTTGGATGGGCGGAGAGTTTTTCCTTGTAGGACGCTTGTTGTTTTTCTATTTCGTTCTTAACTGCAGGAATGCCGAGATCCCTGTGGATGTGTTCATTGCGAATATACCATGGTGCGCCAGTGATGGTTCTCAGGATTTTTGATTGGGCGCGCTGTATGATGTCTAGATTGGTACTGCACGCGTTCCCCCAGAGCTGGGAGCCATACGTCCATATTGGCTTCACTGTGGAGTTGTAGAGCAGGACCTTGTAGTCCAGACACTGGGGCGATCGGGAGTTTATGAGCCAGTGGAGGCTGCTGGCTTTTAGTTTTAGATGAATTTTCTTGCATTCAATGTGTCTTCGCCATGTTAGGCGTCTGTCCAGGTGGACGCCCTGGTACGTTACCACGTTGACTTCGGGGATCTGCGTGCTGTTCAGGTAGAGCGGAGGGTATATTTGTCTGTTGAGAGTGAACGTTATGTGCTTACACTTTTGTTCATTATTTTAATACGCCAATCAGATAGCCACATCTCGACTACCTTG